TTTCTTCCATAGTGCTATTTCAGGTTAATATTTTGATATTGCAAATAGTCTTTTTTATCACACGCTACAATAAGCTTATATTGAGCACCATAGTAATACACTAACTGTGAGGCTGAAAATAAAATCTGTGAAGCTATGTTTTGATTGATGTGCCATCTGGGAAAAAACAGGACACAGCTACAAGATAAAGTACATTTAAAATAAAATGATCAGGTTGGCAGCATGAGTTTTTCCATTATCCAGAGGTAGCAAGAAATCACAAGAGAAACATCATTCTATTAATCTATGATAGCTTCTGTAGAACAAGCTACTCTGTATTCCTGGCAGGTAAACCTTCATTCCCACTTTTAGTCTCACTTGAATAGCCCAAAATTGGATGGGATGTAATATAAGGGGTTAGGAGAGATCCTGGATCTCCCTCATTAGTGTCGCTAAGGCACCCTTCCAAAGGCAGGTTTAGTCACACAGATAAAAACAAAGAATGGACATGAACATAATGTTGCTCCATGTTCCATATCTAACGTCCCCATTTCTGTGCTCTAGTGATGGCCTAATGGCTTTTCCAGAAAGCCAGGGTGTGCCTCACAGTTGCAGCTCCATGTACCCATTTTTAATGGTATCTGAACTCACACCAAATTATGATCTTGAAATTCAGTGGCACAATTTTAAAATTATTTTTAATGTGTTCGGGTAAGTGTGTCACACCTCCAGTAGACCTAATTTGGGCATGAAAGTAACGGTTCTCCTAGTACAAAAAAGATTAGCAGGCTAGGAACATGGTCCAAAGGTCCCACCCCCTCTTGCAACACCCTTATATCACTGGTTCTGCCTTGTATCCATCGCTGGTACTGAAGCCGAGCAAAGGCCAAAATTGGAAGTGGGGAAGGAGGAAGGAGGGTTGCTAATTCTGTTTCTCGTACCAATTCCTGTCAAGTTAAGGAAGCTTTTCCCTGCTGTCTAAAGTGTTAGGATTTCAGAGTGAGAGTTTAAGAACAAGCTAGTAGGAAGCTTCTTATCAAACTGGAAGCGGCGTTACTGAAACAGATGGAGATACTGGGGTATAAACAACAGTAGTTAAGTACATTTCTTGAAATCAAAATTTAGAACCAAGAAAGTAAAGTTTGGATCGTCTTCTTACAATCAGTGGGAACTAAAATATGTACCTCTGCCAGTATTATATCATTATTTGTTTCTAGCCAAAGTATACAGTAGTTCAGTTTTGTCATTCCTAAATATGAGGTAAAATGTTGTGAATATTCTATATTAGTCAGATGGCTGATTTACCTTCTGTTTTGTTGATTTGCTGTTAATGCTGAAATTTAAAAAAGTATTACAGGTTTGCAGGTTTGCTTGGTGTATTTTTAAAGTACCATTGAGCTTTCCCACAATAAGTTATTTATAAATACATAAATAATTACAAAAAGCTTGTAGGAATATTCTGCTCAAAGAATTACAGGTAGTCCTCACCCGTTGGGACCAGCAATTGTGTTGTTAAGTGCACAGTCACTAAGTGAAAAATCACATTACCGTGGCAGCCTTACAACGTTGCTTATGGCTTGCATTTTCTTTCAGTGCATTCTGTTAACTCTGCTTGTTGAAAGCCAGTTGGGAAACACACAAGTGATGATCAGGTGACTGTGTGATGCTGTGACAATCATAAATGTGAGGATTGGTTGCAAAGCTAGGTTTTTTTTAAATACCATCATAACTTCCAACAGTCTTTAAAAGAGGCAATCAGTAAGTGAGGACTATCTGTATCATTCACCATATTGCTGTAAAATGATAACACAAGCCAATTTGGTCTAGTGGCTAAGGCACTAGGCTAGAAAGCAAGAGACCGTGAATTCAAGTCCCGCCTTATGACCTTGGGCCATTCACTCTCTCTTGCAACCCAACCTACTTCCCACGGTTGTTGTTGTTGTGGAGAAAATACGAGGGGAAAGTTATGTTGGTGGATATGTTTGCTACCTTGAGTTATTTGTAAAAAATAATAAAGGTGGGTTAAGAACAAATAATAATGAAAAATCTTGGAGATTAAGAGAGGAGCCCCATATTTTATCACCTCATGACCTATGCCTGCTGAAAGTTATATGATTTGGTGTAACAGCTTTGGTTACTTTCTTTGCTTATCTTTATTTATTTTGCCATTTTAGCTACAAAACACTCAAGAATTAACAATAGAACATTACAATGATATTCATAGTAATTTTAACTACAAGAGTGATAACAGCACATTGCTAATGTACCATTAGTGACAATTGAACTTAGCTTTTATTATATGTTCAGTTGTAGTCATTTTTCTGTGTTGATTTCAACCTTATCTATGTTGTTTGGATTATAATTTTCTCCTATTTCTATCCAATACATCAAACAGCCCATAATTTTGGCCCCTAATATGCAATTCTCCATTTTTTTAATGTTCAGGAAAGATATTCAGGTTTCACTTTTCTTTATATAGAAAAGAAAAAAGAACAATAAAGAACAACCTTTATCACAAATTCCTGCCATTCAAACGGTACAGAATGTAATTGTTTTCCTCAAAATAAAAGCAGCTACTCATAAATGATTGGTCATGTAAGTCTTAAAAGATTTCTTATCCTGGATTTTTACATACATATACATTATCTATTGGTATATATAATCTACACATACAGATCAATTGTCCCTTTTGTAAAGCAACTCCAGAGTCTGTAGTGAAACATATCCTCTCAAGTTTTTCAAAAGATAAAGAAGTAGAAAATCTGCTAAACATTTCAATCAAATAGAAATATTATACTTAGCGTTTAAACACCATTCAGAGATTTGGATGCTTGCTGATCAGTATGGATATAGCAATTCTCAAGTAATTTTTTTCCCTGCCATAACTGAACAAGTAACCACACAAAGTTGTCTGGGAATTGATCAACCTAGAAATAGGACAAATTAAGTAAAAAGTTAAGAGGGCTAAAGACTTTTCTAGCCCAGCATCCTTTTTACTTTGACCAACAAGGCACCTTTTGCAAAATCCAGTGCCGCATAAAGCCAACACAGTTAGTAGGTGTGATAGGCTTAATCTCTGGAAATACATCCGGTCTCCTTTAAAAGCCATCATGTTACATTGACTGATTAATTTCACCCTAATAGAAAGGAAGAAATTGGTTCAGCCCAGTAGCAAGCAAGATTTCAGTAGAAAGTCACCTCATTTTGTTACCTCATTTCGTTTATTCCTGAACTCGAAGTCTGGTTGTGACTCTTGCATTTGGATGTTTCTGTAAGAGTTTTCTGCTTATCCAGCACAGGGTAAAGGACAGAATCCAGATATTTAGCCTTCCTCACCACTGCCCAGGATAATTGGAACTGTAACATCTGTTCCTCACTTCTAGGATATAGGGAAAGCAAAGGGGAAAAAAGTGCAAGGCGTAAAAAAAAAAGATTATTGTATACTCTCTGCTCTGAAGAACATTCAGAAGGTAGAGCTGATTCAGAATGCAGCAAGATGGACAATTTTTGGCATTTCTCTTTGTACCATAATAAACCTTTGCTCCATGAGCTGCGTTGCCTTCCAGTAAGTTTCCCAGTGCAATTCAAGGTGCTGGTTGTCACCTATAAAGCATACCATGGCATAGAGCCAGACTATTTATGGGGTTGCTTCTCTCCCATTGTTTCAACTTACCCCACCAGAGCTAAATAAAGCATGCTCTGGGTTCCATTTAAACAATGCCATCTTGTTGGACTCCAGAATTGTGTCTACTCAATGTCAGCCCCTATGGAACAGCATCACCCTGGACATTCAGATGGCCCAACTCTTTAAGCTTTCACGAGACATTGAAGATCTGTTTGTTCAGGCATTTAGGTCGGTTGATGAGCTGTGCTATTGTTGATGTGCTTTTTATGAGTGGTATTATAGTTTATCCTTGGGCTTCAGGGATTATACATTGTGGGTTTCTGTGCTTTTAATTCTTGTAAATGGTCCTGAGTCACTTGAGCAAAATGGGGGTTGTATAAATCATATCAATAAATAATAAATAGTACAATATAGTTTTATCTCTAGCTTGTTTTATAGAAAATGCCAATTACTAAAGTATTGACCCTTAGAAGCAAATATTCCCTATTCCCAAATATTCCCCTCAAACATTCCCTAAACGGTTTTCCATATTTGTGGTCCTGTTGGAAACTGAGGCATTGGTATTTATTGGTACACAGTGGGCTGAGCACAATATGCTTTTTTCTTTTACTTAAACCTTTTACATATCCCACTTATCCTTCACAAATGATAATTGACAGTTCTTAGCTTTCAATAATTCCTTCCTTTCCCAATTATAGAAATATTCAATAAAAACATTGAAAACACATGGAAATTTATATTCATATGGTGTAACATAAGCCTGTGAAACAAGAATGTTATCCTTCCAATAAGTGGTACAGCAATTTATGCTACTACATTACACTATGAGTTGGCATTCACATTAATTTTATTTTGCAGAAATGATGCAATTTATGAGATGAACTAATACTTCAAGTATTCAAGCTCACACTTAATTAAATTCCTGCTACAACTTATTACATTCTATGGACATATTTTCAGGAGGAAAGAACAAAGGAAGCAGAATTCCTACTTTGCTATATTACCAATTCTATTAAAAAAAATAAAAATCATGCTTCCTCCATTTTAATGAAATCTATCATTAATGAGAAACCACAATTGTGTTCCTTATAGGATAATCTTTTGTTGACAAAAAGTAGCTTTTTTTTTATATATATATGTAATGTTTAGTTTCTTTTTTGTATATGTTGCCTTTTGTTTTGTATTGTTTTTGTCTTTTTGTAAAATTTATAAAACTTTCAATTAAAAAAAAAAAGTAGTTTTCATAATTTTCTCAGAAATGGCACCTTTTTTTTTGGTTGCTCTGAATTACTGTGATGCTGTTTCAGGAACAACTTTCACAAAACAGCAGTTTTTGTAGCAGCGCGTACCATTTTAAGTCTCTCAAGTAATTTGTGATTCTTTTGTAATTCTGCAGCAGACCAGTCAGGAATGCTATTTATTGGAGATGCTGTAATACAGGTCAGTCCATACTTACTGGAAAGTATGTTGCTTGTTAATGTTTATCCTAAATGCCTTGTATTATTTACCTAATGTTTCAAATAATCCCTTTATGATGTTTAGGTTAACGGCATAAGTGTAGAAGGCGCTACCCACGAAGAAGTGGTAAGTTGCACAGTGATTTCTTTTTCTTTCCCTACTATATGTTATAAATTGCTGCCTAGATTACTCTTGCTTTCTTCATACATATTTTTCAGAGTGTTACAGAAATATTGGTTGGTTGTTCACAGCATTCATTCACATAATTTTCAGGCCAAGTTTTTTTTCATTCTCATGGAGTCTAGTACTAAGCTCTCTGTTCCTTCATGAAATGATATAGGATATAGAAAAAGCACAAAAAGAAGCTACAATTTGTAAGAAATAGTTAATAAAAGACTCTAAGCATTAATCATAAAAATGATTTTACTACCTCATCTTTATTGTCCTTTGTTAAGACACTATGTTCATATTTTAGTAGTAGTATTGCATTTTACAAGAGAGAAGCAAGATTTAACATCTCATTATTTCACTACTGAGTCACTCATTAATTGGCTCCAACTACTTATCTAAATTGTAGCATCCAGAAATTCCAAAGTTTGCTTGGTTTCAGCCATCTGGAAAATGGAGGTCAGAAAAGGGTATCTCAACAAATTTGAACTTTAAGCTGAGAACAGGCTTCCATTTCAAATATAAATCCCAATGCTATACTGTATTTTATCTTCCATTCTTTGTCCTTTTCCTTACTGTTCTTAATTTCACCACCAAATGTAGATTTTAAACTCAGTTCCCACCTATACTATTATTCTTCTGATGTTGAGCTACATAACTGATTATAATGAATTATTTGCCTTTGAGAGCCATAGAAGATATGTCCAAGGGACATCATACCTTCTCTGCAGTGGGCTCTTTTCCATTTGGTTGGTTTAATTTAAGCTTTACATTATTACAAATGTTTAACCAAATTTTAGGAATACAGTGCACAGCCACATGCATATTCTCCATTTATATATCAGAGCAGCAGGTTCCAGATCATTTTAAGAAGGCAACCAACTCAGAAGGAGAAAAATCAAGATAAAATGAACAAGGAAACTGAAACATAAAGCAAGTGGGATAAATGATAGGTCAGATATTCCATTGCTACAATTGTAGAATAGCCAAGGATAGCTGTTGATTATGCCAGAGGGGTGCCAAACATTTTAAAGGTAATGATTATGTCCCCTGAATGATTCAGGGGATTTCTAGGTTCAAGCTAAAAATCCTCTCTTCAGCAGCTCATGGTTTTGTGTCAGCTTAACCAATTTCACAGGATAGTTGTTGCCAGGAAACTTCACCTAAATATAAGAGTATACCAGATAAAACATTGATAATAATATGGCACAGTCAATGTGTAATTTCATGTTTGCAGGGCTAACCTGTAAAATTGATCAATCCTAAAAGGCTGAACATACTTAATAACCTAACAAGTCTGATGAAATGCTGGTTGAGTTAACGATTCTGTTGATAGAATTCCAGGACAATATAAGGGGTGTCAAAGTGCCGGCCCGCAGGCCAGATGCGTCATGGCGAAAGTGTGCCCACCCCATTGGCAATGGGAAAAAAGTCACGATATGTCGTGACACGTCACACGACATTGCGAGTTTGACACCCCTGATGTAAGGGATTAAAGCTAGTTTGATGTAATGGTTAAAGGTGCTGAATGGAAGGAAGAAGGAGTGTTAGGTATTTTCACCACCTTGAGTATTAAAGGCAGGATGAAAATGTAACAAGTAAAGTAAGAATGCAGAAAAAGTGGAATTACACCCAACCAAAATCTGTTGCTAGTATATAGTGCAACAGCTAGTGTTTTGCAACCACGACTATCAAAAGCTTAATAGTTTATCAGTGTTTCTTCTGAAGAATTCTATCCTTCCATATGAACTTAAAAATGTTATCATAAGCTCACCATCTTAAAATGCATTGATGAGTATTCTATCTCCTTAGTACAATCCCTATTGTGAAACTCACATCTGAGAGAAGTGAAGTTCCTCTGTTTTTATTTTCCTTTGCATTAAATGCATTAATTCACGCTGCTTTCAAATTGTATTACATATTGATTTGATGGATCTTTCATTGGATGGTGCTTAACCTAATTATTTTGTGTGCCTGTATCATACTCACATATATTTTCATGCTTTCAATTTTTATTTTGGGTATCATCACTTTTCAAATGATACCTTTCAAAATCCTTAGCTGATATAGTTACACTTTTATTTTAAGTACATTCACTCTTTTAGTAATATAATAAGAGTCACCTGATCTGCAAGATAGGCAGCAAATAAATGTGATAAATAAATAAATATGAAGGGTGATTTCATATCAGAGTTACTTTCTGTAGTTCATTTTCAAACTGAAATTTACAATTTTCAATAGGAATTTCTTTTGGTTCATTATCTATAATTTCTGTAATAGCTGTGCTATGGCAACCATTAATATTTTTCTTTGGAGAAAAAAATGCATGGCATTACATTGCAAGAAAGTTTTTTAAAAAGCTTTTTTTGCTGAAAATCACTTCACTTGACATGATAAGAACTTAATAACTGAACAAACGTCATGCCCAATTCATGATAATTTTAGTCACATTATAAGCAGTTAAAATGATTACAGTAACTATTAGCAAAGATTAAATTTGAAACAGTATATACAGCATTATTCTATTATGAACTCAATCAAATGATTTTATGAAAGGCAGGCCGAACTCAGCAATTAATATAAAATCATTTTTTTATTATTTCCTTCTTAAAACAATTGGGGATAAAATATTGCTGGCAGCCTAACCTGCAGAAAGAGAAGAAAAATGCCTATATAAATGCCTTTCTGCAATAGAAGACTTCTATATTTTCTGACATAAGTTACAGTGGTGCATAGGCATAGATTCCTATTCATTCTCTAACAAAAAATAGTTGTGCATGATAGTTATACAGTTATGCCCTTTGGAGTTCCGGGTGGGGGAGGGTTGTGGACTATGAGATCCTTCATAGCAGAGCTCCTCTGGAGAAAAAGCAGTGGAAACAACTTGCATCTTTCCTTGCTATCTTCCCCATTGATTTTCCTTGTAGGAAAGTAACAAAGTCACCACAACTGCAAGGGCCTGTTGTAAACCACCCTCATTCAGTGTGCTCAGAACTTTGAACAATCACTGAATGAGCAATTATAACCCAAGGACTAGCTGTATAAGAAATAAGAGGACATACAGCACAATCAGACTTTCAAGATTTTCTTACAGTAGCCAATCTAAATAAAAGTAGTTTTAGTCTTCATGTGGAGTTGATTTTCTTGTCTGGTGTACCTAGTGAGAATTATAATACACAATGGTTCGCTAACCATATTTTGCATAATTAGTTTTTAAAATGTGGTAAAGATGGTTAAGGTGCATTCATCCTGGCCTGCCTTGATCTCTTAGTGGTTTTTGATACCATCAGTCCTTGTATCCCTCTGGACTGACAGGGGATTAGGAGTGGGAAGTACAATATGGCAGTAGCTCTGTTCCTTCCTCCAGAGTTTGTTCCACTTGACCTTGACCTTGACCTTGATCTTGGTAGAGGAAGACAAGTCCAGTCCTAAGCCTCTAACATGTAAGTTTCCAAAGGGCTCTACTCTTCCTGCTCCTATTTTATACACATTGAAATTGCTATTCAGGGGGTACTCAATTATACTCTGGGTTGACCACATTAGTATCTGGAGGTTATGGAGGCATAGAAAAAGACTCAAGCTCATGCCTGACAAGTCTGAACAGCTATGATTTGGGGGATTTCTCTGATCTGAGCATTTGCCATTGTTGGCTCTGAAATATGTAGCACAAGGGTTCCCAACTGGGGGTGCGAGACAATATTCCAGGGGGTGCGAAAACTTGGGTTTTCAAAATGATAGTGTATATGCATAATTCATTGCTGTTATTTAAAACTTTTGTAAGGGGTGCAAGAATATATCAGAAGCATTCTAGGGGTGTGGGGTATAGAAAAGATTGGGAGCCGCTGATGTAGCACTTTCCCATGACTTCCTTATCTTTGGCTCCTGTTGAAGAACTAGGAAATGACTCTAGCTAGGAGAGCTGGAGGGCTAGCGAGGAGAGCTTTTGCACAGCTCCATCGTTGGTGACAGATGTTCCATTTCCGAGATTGGGAGCCTTACTTATTGTCAATAATAATTTGTTTACCATCTATCAGCACTACAGTAGTGCGGTTTACATGGGGCTGCCCTTGAAGACCCTCAGAAGCTGCCAATGATCAAGAATGCAAGGCACAGGTAGATAATGGGAATGTTCAATTCAACCATGTAACAACGTCCACGAGTTGCACTGGCTTCTAGTGGACTTCTGGGTACAACTCAAGATACTGGTTATCACCTATAAAATCCTTCATGGTTTTAGGCAGGACTATCGGTTTCCTATTATTTTTATTTTGTTTTGTGATTTCTGGCAGAAGGAGGTGTTTTCCAAGTCCCCTCTATTAAACAATGGACCCAGGAATTATGTCTTCTCTGTTGCAAAACCTGTCCTATGGAACAGCAGAATTCCTGAGGTTCAAATAGCCCCAACCCTCCTGTTTTATCTAAAGCCTTAAAGACCAGACTCTTTCCCCAAGTATTCATTCTTGACAAGGTGATTGGTTATTTGTTGATTGCTGTATTAATGAATTGTTTTTGAAATCATTATTAGGTTTATTTTATTTATTGTTAGCCATCCAGCAACATGTTTATTGGACAACTATGTTAATCTGTTAAACATATAAGCAAGTAAGCTAATAGTGCATATGTGAAAATTAGTTTACATATGAAACTAGTTACATTGTCTTCCCCCCCCCCCCGTGCAGTACAGTACACAGTAACATTGTGTACTGTTCTTTTCCTATGCTCTAGAAAGCTTTGCTTATCCTAAAATGGAACAATATGATGCCATGTTTGTGTGTGTGTGTGTGTGTTTGTGATCTGTTCCAATTAGTTATTCGTCATCGTATACATAATGCCATTAACATTTCCAATTGATACTTCTATAAAATGTGATGCTTTAATCAACAGGTATTACTGATACTTCCCTCCCTTGCTTTTCTACTGCATCACTCACTCTTTATGTCCTTCAGTGGCACAGTTCT